AAATGTTGAGGTTCCCACATTTTCTAGACAATGGCTCATAGATGGCGGCAAGGTTGTCAGCCCTACGCGCCGGCCGCCCTTTACCCCCAAGAATATTCCATGAATATCGCACCCTAAGAACGAGGAAAAATAAAAACATACAATTCTCACAACAAAAGTTGCTATTTGTTACAGGCGAAAGAAATTAAAGGGGAGATGGGGAATATTACGTAAATATAACTTATGGAGCCTGCCTACAATGGCTAAGGCCCTCCATACACACACAGTTTGGCCTCCCGTTCGGCCTGCACAGTTCAAGGCTGAAAGGCAAAACTGATGTGTGTGGTGCGGCCGGCCGGCCAATCGTTTGGACTCTAGGAAACCCGTCAGTCCGTCAGTTCTACCTGCAGGTCGATCGGCAGGCCAAACTGTATGTGTATGGGGGGCCTAAGATGAAACAAGAAGGGGGTGCCTGGATAAGCGTGAAGGAAACACGAAATCCAGAATTTTGGTGGTGGCCTCTTCAAAGAGGCAAACAGTTAAGACCAAAACGAAGACTGGTCAAAACATAAATGTGGATGTTACGAACTTGATGTAAATTTAAGTGGCTAAGGATAATCATTGGTACCAAATGGAAAAGGTAAATTTGTCCCTGTGCTAATCAATTAACCACTGCGCCATTAAGACGTATGAAGCAGTGGATGTATAGATCGAAGTTTTCTGGACCTCGACACTAGCTGGAGGTGAGTGGTCAGCTTCACGCCCCGGCAGCTCTACCCCCGGGATAAGAGCCCCCGATACCGAATGAACAGAAGGATGGGTGGGCCCCAGAGCCGTACTGGACGAAAGCTCGTTGAAATTCAACAAGGGCCTTTCCTTTCGTAATATTACATTCCCGCCACTTGTTTCTTTCTTTCTTTCTTTCCTTCCTTCCTTCCTTGATTTATTCCTTCCACGCCTTTATCACGCTTCCTCCGTTCTCCGTTACAAGAGGGAATTAATTTGGAGCCTTCTGACGGCACAGTTCCGAACACACGCATGTCTCATCAGAGACATTACTGAAAACTATCACCCATCAAACACGAACAGGTGGAAGTCCAAATACATTAGGCAATTTATTATCGCGGCCCTTAAGGGCCCATAAACAGCACCAGCATACAAAACAACATGCGCTTTCAGTTGCAGTGCATTCAGCTGGCGTCTCCCTGGGTGGAGAAAGAGCCAGGCCGTCAAGTTACATGCCCATCGTGGCTGGACATAAATCGTTTCTGCTTCAACGTTGGTTCAGTTATCAGCTATCACAAGATAACCGACGCAATTGCAGCGTAAATACCTGCGGACTTTCAAACATAATTCGTGAACGTTCCGATTATGTAAAACCTTACAAGGACAGTATTAAAGGCTGGAGGAGGCTCTAAAAGAGATGCATTCCAGCCCTTATATTCTGACTTCTGAATGTGAGTGATGAATTGTGCTTATTCAACACATAGACAAAACCTTCGACGTTACCTCACCAAGTTACATACCACAGCATTAAATTATGGCAGACATCATTAGATGCATTCAAAATGTGATATTCTGTACGACTAAACTGGAAACTGTACGTCTAATGAAGTGGAAGCTTCACTGGAATACAAAGACTCAACTAAAACTACAACTGGAGTTGAAATGGTTACAATACCAAAGTTTTGTTAGCTATATGTTAATTAACAGGACAACAGATGGTCGTAAGAAATAAACCGTTATACATGGTTGCTGGCTGGGAAGGAAAGCCAAGCCATCTGCCCCTGCCCCCTAGGATTTTGGGGGAGAAAGAAATCTAAACTGAAAAATGGTAATGGTAATTACCAAATGGTAATACCAAAAATTGCAATTTTTTTTTAAATAATCCATTCTTATATCTTGAAAACTCTATGGCATCGGTAAAAACAGTCTTAATTGGCTTAAGTATAAGTTTATAAGCAAATGACTGTTAACCTCTAAAGAAAATACTGTAAAATTAACTTTATTTTGATATAAGACATGTTAAATTCAGAGAAGAGTTGCCGTTATTATCAGGAACAACTAACAAGGAGGGCAAATAAATTAAAAATAACGATCCTTATTTGTAGTTGTTATTTTTTCCTGTGGCGCTACAACCCCAATTTGGGCCTAGGCCTACCTCCATGAACTTCTCCGTTTCACTTCGGTTTACTAGATCTTACACATACGGTAGGACTCCTTGTGCGGGTGATCAGCTCGTCGCAAGGCCTCTACCTGTAGACAAACACAGAAAAACGCACACAAACATCCATGCCCTGAGTGGTATTCGAACCCACGATCCTGGCTTCCGAGAGAGCGAAGACAGCGCATGCCTTAGACCGCTCGGCTACTGTGACCGGCTGTAGTTGTTATTAGGGTAACAAAATCAAGAGGCTGAGATGAGTGAAGCATGTTGCATGCTGGGAAGATCAGAAGAAATGCATACATAACTTCGGTCAGAGAGCCTAAAGAGAAGAGACCATTTGCAAGACCCACACATAAAAGGGATAGCATATCAAAAGGGATCTCTCAGAAACAGGATGTGAGGCTGTGCCCTGGATTCATACGGCTCTAGATACAGTCTACTGGCAGTCTCTTACGAACACAGTAATGGTTCTTTCGCTTCCATAAAAGTTAAGATAAGTAACATCTTATTTTGGAAGAAAAAATCACCTGCAGCAGTTAATCAATCTGTTCTTTCACTTTTTTTTTGTTGCTAGTGGGGTGGGACTAAGTCCCTTGTACTGCGGCCACTTCTGGCCTACTGTAGCAGCCCCAGATGATAGGTGAGGGTGATTGTGGAGCAATTGGTGGAATGAAGATTGGCAGGGGAGACCGCAGTACTCGAAGAAAACCTGCCCCAGCGCCACTTTGTCCACCACAAATCCCACTTGAGTAGACCCCGAGATCGAACCCGGGCCGCCGCAATGGGAAGCCAGCGACTAACTGCTTGAGCTTATTCTTTCACTTAATGTAAGCCACATTTTGCTGACTCTACTGCTCTCAATTTCAATTAACCAGGCACACCTCACATTTCAAGTTATAAAGTTCATTCCCTTTTGTGACCTTCACAACCACAGCATATAATGAAGTTCAAAGTAATGCAAAGATTTTGGGAAGGGAATCACACTACACTACAAAAGCTAAGAGGCCCCCCACTCCCTGTACACTCCAACCTGCTTAGTAAACACATTTCATATCATCATACACAGGATGTGTGTTGATGTCTCATACTGCATTTATCAACACTAACACATGTCACATTTTTGTTTTCATCGTTATAAATGTAATGCAAAGAAATTCATACACCTCTTTGCACTAATTCAATATTATCCTCAATAAACCATCTACTCTAAAAATTGTTTATTCACTTTTCTGTCCAATCTATGTGTCCAATTTCAAAATGGTCATGTTACAATGACAAAAACCAAAGAAACATAAAAATGGAGGCCTATCAGAGAATTACGAAACTACACTATCTTTATTCAGACTTCCAACTGCCTTATATTGCCTACTAGACCATACCCGGAACTTGGCACCCAAATTAATTTTGCCAAAACTCACTGATCCAGCTGCTGCTTGAAAACGCGATGTCACTGAAGGTATAACAAATTTCCTACCGGTACGCTTCAAAGCGTTCACTGCTGACATCAATAATCTCTATATTTTGCTTAAGATAATAATTATTTACTGTCAAATGACATGTAAGTGGAATTGTAGTTACTAAAGGATTCTGACGATGGTGTATAACACACAGAGATATTGGGTTTTCGGACTTTATCCATCGTCCTGGTTTTTAAGATAACTAAGAAAAAACACGACGTTTCGGAAACTGGATCTGTTTCCGTCCTCAGGTGAGGGAAAATACCTATTCTGTTGGGTCCCTTAGAAAGAGCTAGCCTCCTCACCTGAGGACGGAAACAGATCCAGTTTCCGAAACGTCGTGTTTTTCTTAGTTATCTTAAAAACCAGGACGATGGATAAAGTCCGAAAACCCAATATATCTGTGAAGTGGAACTGTGTGTAACGTTAATAACACAATTAACTTTGTAATAATATTCCCACTTGTACCTTTGGTTACTGCACATCTTGCAAACTTGCACATCCATAGCAACAATGCTCCTCCTTACAGGCAAAAAACAAATTTTATTCACTTGCAAATGTTTCGCTCTCCAAGTTCTTATGATCCTACAGAATCGACGTCATTCTTCTATACCGCAGAATTTGTGGCATTCCGAAGTATTGTACCAGACTATAACCACACCGACTGTGTGTGTTCGTGCATTCCTTCTTCGTAATTTCAAAGCCCCAGCCCCCGTATTGCATAACATACCAGGATGCATTGCTTTTCAACAGAACGGATGTCTTAATATATCAGTTCTGACACATTCCTAAACAATTTCATCACTTCCTCCTAAAGAAGAAGTTTGGAGGGAACAACAAGTAACTACCGGTAAATACTTTCTTTCCTGTTCATATACAGTTATCCATTTAGATGCGTGCCACTCTGTTTAACTCCGTCAGAATACTATGTACAAGTATTTACGTTACATACTGACTAACGCATTTCACTGGATGAGAAACTGAATGTAGAACGTTAAAAATTACCCTCTGCAATTACAGCATGTGCATCTTATGAATAAATTACTGATCACCAACGTTGTCGAAGTAGGACTATGATAAATTATCGAACATTCTGGAGCTAATAATTCAATATGCAAGAAGCGCTACAGTTATGATGTGGCAGAGCTACAGTTGATGTTAACTAAATTACGAAAAGTTACCATAGCTTCCAAATGCTCATTCCTTTAAAAACAGTGCAATTCATTACGTGGTGGCGTTGCCTGAAATTTCCTTTGTGAGTGTATGCTGCTCACTCGTTGGGCGGTCGACCAATTTGAATTTGGCGCCAAGAACCCTTGTCCTGGCCACTTACACCGAGGTCAACATATGCCCGGACACAAAGATAATTTAATCTTCGGAACTCTGTAGCACCTTACCTTCCTCTGTGCCTCAGCAGCGAAACCAGATTTTGTTGCTCTGTTGTTTGCCATTGTTGTCCTCAGTACGCCCAGTACAATACAGCCTTCGTAGATGCAACAACTACTTCCAAGCACGTTCACAGCGACAGTGACAGTTGACTAAACCCAGCCGTAGCCGAAGTACTTTCAAGGTATTGAGTTTTCGATCTAAAACCACGTGATCACTATATCGAAGTCTCATTGGTAGGAAATGATGTCATGGCGATGTTGCCATAACAGCAGGGTGAAACGTATATGGTAAGGAGAGGTTAACACAAGACGAACAAAAAGAACTTACACATTGGAATTTAGTCATAAACTTAAATGTTATTTACACGTACTGAAGATGATTCCAGATACTACTGATCAGAAACTATTCATACAGAATAAAATTTGGTAATGGTGAAACAATTTACGATATACTTTTTTATCTGTTAATTTTGCTAAGACTGTCTCTGCAAATATTGTTGAATTCTGATACATCACACCACATACTTTGCAGCAACCTCCAACACATCGCCGCAAATAGTATTCATCTAGTCTATGCGATTTATGTAAATTTAACTTATATAGTAGGACAATAATGTAGTAAACAAGTTGGTTCCTTTTTAGTCATTAAAATTATGGTTTTCTACTATGGTTAATTTTCGCACAAAAATATAAATCTGAGGCTTCGTATTATCGATAATCTGGTAAAAAAAAAATACGAGACATTTCAAAATGTGGACTTAGCCATCTCAATCTCAGCAACGATGCAAAAGTTTTGCTTATCTCAAGGCCGCATAAAATATCCCACTGCCTAGGCGAATTCTGGGTTAGCAACTTTGCATAAAGACATCCTTTGGTCGCTCACTGCTGGCATCACAGGGCCGGGTGGCGCATGCGTCTGACGGTGTGCATGATTGGAATAATAAATCGCGTGATCGAAATGGGAATATTATTTCGCAGCCTAATAGATATGTACGTATGTTGACTTCTGAGTGGTAACAGGTCTTACCTTCCTTTAGTGTACATGCAGAGAGGTAAGTAATCCGTGCCGGCACGCCACTGACACTTACCGCCGAAGTTGTAAAAAATAAGAGTAATAAATCATACATCTGGCAATGCATGGTATGTTCCGACCTTGAGCGTAAAACAGAGACATACCTGCAAATATATTTTTGAGGGAGGACGGGAACCTTCGTGAATATATTATTATTATTATTATTATTATTATTATTATTATTATTATTATTATTATTATTATTATTATTGCCAATTTACAATCTACTTAACCGTAAAGGAAGTAACAAGTAAATGTGATATATCATCTTATGTCTTGAAGGCAGAGACTGCCCAGCGGCAGTTCTCATCCATTTAATTTCTTAAGCCTTTTAGCCACTTTTTCTTCAATTTTCTTGCATTAGCATGTGGGTCCAATAGTTCGAGTAGCTGGTTCTCATGGCCTGTAATCCGGGTCGTGAATATATGAACTGATAACAAGTAGACTGGATGAGTGATACAGCATTATGTGAAATGGTAATAAGTACATTTCAGAGTAGAGCATGGAGAAACTGGCAACAGACACGCAGACTTTCAAAATGAGTCACCAGATCTCGAATCCTGGGGCTCACAAATAGTATCTCTGTGATAAACTGAACCTAAGGCATTCCGCGGTTTTTGGACACTTCTCGAAATACGCGAAATTGAGATGCAGATTCCGACATAAGGTAAAGCTATCCCTGTACGTAATTAAGCGTCACGTCACGTCACGTGTGGGAAAGTGAAGGTATACTTCTTAAACTCGCCACTTGTTAGAGGTGAATGGTCAACTTCAGCCCCCTAAACTCTCAGGGTAAAGAGCTTCCAGCGTCCTCTGGATATGAGGATAGGTGGATCCCAGTGCTGGTCTGGATGCTGCCTCTGACGGGAATCGAAACCCGCCGTCCTCCCAGTAGTCTAGTCACTACAGCCTACCGACCAGTTACCTCACGCAGATGTGTAATAGTATCAGGGCCACACTCACTGTTCCATAACACGTAACTATTACTGCAACTGCACACGAAGGAAGCAGCGAGCGAACTTGGATTATAGAAGCATGAATTTATTTTCGGTCCAGTATCACCCCTTCTTCGTAGTGAAGCTTAAATCAAACTACACCAAGTTTCTCAAAAATGGCTAATCATATATACAGTATAAGGCTGATACACAACATTAAATACACTTACTTACTTACTCATGGAGCTGAGCCCTTCTGGAGTAGCCGCCAATTCTGCAGCTACTCAAGAAATTCCCAGCATTTTATGGAACTCGAAAGTTCATTACCGTGTTCACAAGAGCCCTCCACTGGTCCCTATCCTGAGCCAGATCAATCCAATCCATAACATCCCATCCTATCCATTTTAATATTGTCCACCCACCTACGCCTTGGTCTTCCCAGTGGTCTCTTTCCTTCTGGCTTTCCCACCAATATCCTATATATAACCGTCCAGCCCTTACGTTGGGCTCCACCTCTTCACTCTGTAACCGTTCTTCCCTCACCTTCACTNCCCCCCTTGTTGGTTGGTTAGTCACGCGTTGTTCGTCGCTCCTCTCCTTTCTTCTTCTTCTTAGGTTGGGAGCCAGTAAGCTCCAGTGGTGTCGGCTTACAATAGTCTTAGATTTATTTTGGAAAGGGGGTGAAGGTGATAGTCAACTAGTTCAGCTGTGGGTAGAGCTGGGATCCTTCTCAGACCGTTCCTAGGGCCTCGCTTAGGATGGGGAGGGGAGCAGTTGGTTCAGTGCTACTTTGCACTTAAACACCGTGACCATTTATTGGGATCAACACTTTCCTTCACCTGAGGCACACACAGTCAATACAAAGGATGCTTATATAGGATATAGGTCCTTAGCTCAGTCCTGGTATAACGGACGTTATTAGCACAGTTTACACTTTAGCACTCTGAATTTGGGGATCTCCAGAACAGCGAAAAACACAGATTTTGTTTCTAAATTGTTCACGAGTAGCAGGCCACTCACTTGGCGACTGCCTTGGCGACTGTTTGGCAACTAACTTGTGACTCTTTGTCTGAAAACACTGAGGTCCCCTGGACGTCAGGTCCTCTGCTAAGTCCCTCCCGCTTAATTCCACTGATTGGGTAATTTTGAGAACTGGGGGTTCACACAATTTCTGGATCTACAATCACCTAGCTGCAATTTGGGACTTTGAGCCTGACAGATAACCTGCTTGGCGTGGGTTTCAAAACCGCCTACTTTTAAGTTACGACGTGCAGGACCTGTCAGTGATCGAATTCTCAAAGTTTGTCGCCGTGCTACTAGCAAACAAAATTTCTCAGAAAAGCCATAGGGGGTGCTTCCTGTGTAACATCAAGATTTTGAATAAGTCCATTCCTGAAAACAAGAATGTGACTATGTCCCACTGGCTTGGGTATTACTTGTTACCTGCAATTAACTTTTGTTACTGATCATTCTAATTATACTTAAATTAGTGAGTGACAGTGGAGCGGTTACATATACATATTCCTCGTCTCCCCCATTCGTGCTACATAATCTGCCTACCTCATCCTCCTTGATTTGATCATTCTAATTATACTTGGAGAAGAGTACAAGTTATGAAGCTCCTCATTATGCAGTTTTCTTCAACCTCCTGTCACTTCATCTCTCTTCGGTCCAAATATTCTCCTCGACATTCTGTTCTCAGACACCCTCAGTCTATGTTCCTCCCTTAATGTCAGAGACCAAGTTTCACACCTATACAGAACCACAGGCAAAATTATAGTTGTATATTCTAACATTTATGTAGAACAGTCAGGGTTTAAAACCTTGTGGTCGCCAATCTAGTCTTATAAATCAGTCGATAAGTTGATGAATCTGGAGGTGACACAACTCCCCACGTATAAACATGGCTGTCAACACATCCAACAATAGGCGAATTTCAGAACGCCACACGCGGTTCTGGGCAGAGCTCATGAAGACCGCTTTCCCAACGGCAGCTTGCCTTTCCTACAAATCTTGAGTAGTATAGTATGCCATATTCATCTAGTGTAACTTTAAAATCTAACAACTAAATGTAATTTAGTTTCATACTGGCTACACGTACAGACGGCACAGAATCAGAACTTGCTCGGAACTATGAATATGGTAGAAATTGCCGTTGTTACGTGTTATTGACAGTAGCCATTAAATACCATTATTTTCATTTTGGGAAGATGTGCTACGCAAGTACACATTCCGTCTGAGATTTGTCGAATATAATTTCAGAATGTGTACAATGAACAGCGTAGAGAAAACCCATACATGTTTATACCTCCGCAGTATAAAGTAGGGACCATGCTTGACCGATATGAATTAAAATCAAACTCAGCCGACGTTTCTGATAGAATCTGAAATACCAGAATTAACCGAAATCCGTTCCATAGTTTTGGGGACTAAATAGGGGAATTTTCTGGCTAAGATATTACCTATTTACTCGTTGTGCATTCATTATTTTTATTACTAGTGGGGTGGGACTAAGTCCCTTGTACTGCGGCCATTTCTGGCCTATTGTACCAGCTCTAGATGACAGGCGAGGGTGATTGTGGAGCAATTGGTGGAATGAAGACTGGCAGGGGAAACCGAAGTACTCGGAGAAAACCTGCTGCAACACCACTTTGTCCATCACAAATCCCACTTCACCAGACCCGGGATCGAACCAAGGCCGCCGCGGTGGTAAGCCAGCGACTAACCGCTTGAGCTATGGCGTGGCCTTGTGCATTAATTAAACTGCAGTTCATGCAAAGTGAAGATAAAAATTAAAATTGCTATTTTTAATTTTGCAAGCTGTATTTGTGATTACTGGGTTGCATGCTGGACCCACTGACAGCAAGAATTATTGTAAACGGAAACCGTCACTGTGGCCCTCTGATACGGGAAGTAACACATCCCGCACAAATGCTATCGGGGCAAGGGAAGACTGCTACGAAGTGAGACTCGGCTCGTAGGCCTGGTTACATTGTATACGTATTCAATTAATTGTTCTTTATTCTCCTCACGTAATTTCCTGTATTGCTGAAGAAATTAATGTGTGTCAGATGATATTCTTACGTATGGACACTTCCAATTCAATCCTAGGATGCGCTTGCAATATGAAAAACTCTATTATAACTACAAACGAACA